TTGATATCGTTTTCATAGCCAATTTCATTTCGAATATTACTGGGTAATTAGTGGGTTAACTGCTTGACTTGAAACACTCTTCTGGATCAGTACAGGGCGAATGATTCAGTGCGAGTGCCTAAATAATTATTAGCCTTTTATCACCTGCTATGCTGCTTTTGAAAAGTGAGAGTTCCTTTCAAGCTAACTAATGCTAATTAATAATAATGAAAGAAATTTTTCCTAAACAGAGAAGAGAACCTTTTTATTTCATGACACTCGTGTTTGTGAAATATCGCGTGACATTCGATTTATTGCTTTGAATATGCTACAAAAAATGTACATTTGCTACAAAAATTATGATACATTTTCCCCCTCTTCGTCTATTGTTGTTCACGGTCCGATAAATACTCGATTAATCGATAAGTATTTTATCGACTCTTTTCTAATGTCCAATAAATACTTACAATCATGCGTGTATTTGCTTGATTTATTTATGCAATATAACTTGATAAATACTAGATTAATCGATCATTATTTTATCGACTGTTTCCTAATGTTTAATAAATACTTACAATCACACGTGTATTTGCTTGATTTATTTATGCAATATAATTTGACCATAACTATCGATAATTTATAGATCGATAATTACTATTTAATAATTACGCGTGCAACAGTGAGTGATCATAATTATCGATTACTTTCTTATCGATCATTTTTATCGACTGTTTCCCATCATCTAATAACTGCTAGTACTTAATAAATACTCGAATGATGTATTCATACAACACCGATAATCAATCAATAAACTATCGATAATTTGTTGATCGATCAATTCCATCGCCGGTTTCTACACCTGCATCAGCTATGATCACTGAATAAACACACAATGAATGCATTTAATAAGCAAATCTATCGAAATCCTACAGCGGGTATCGCCCATCGTCCGATAACTGCCGTCACTTGCAACTGGCGAGGTGCGTGACTCGTCAAAACATGCATGTATTTATTTATTGATGTAGATTTGTATTTGTGCTATAATATTTTAGTACGCATGTTTGTATTATTTATTTACTGTTGACTCGATCGTTGCTGCTGTTGTTGTTGTTATTGTTGTTGTTGCTGTTGGTTTTGTGACGGCTTTTGCGTTTTCTTGACACTTTCACTTTTCTCATTAAAATATGAACGTGGTCGCCGTGCCGACCTAGGGGACAGAGCACAGCAGTGCAGGGCAGCTGGTTTTGCCGACTCGCTGACAACAACAATAGCAACATACATATACTCGTACTATAAAGACGACAAGATGACATGACAATTCGATAGCCGTAGCCCCACCTCGAGCTCGCATCACTTGTACATTTCATTTGCATCTTAATTCAATGCCCAGTTTTTGCTTTATTGGCCGATCTGTCTAAAAGCTATGTTGCGTCGCATCTATGCCTGCCTGTGTGTGTGTTTTTTTTTTTTTTTTTTTTGTGATTATAACATATGTAAGCATAATTTGTGACTATATAGGGCGTTGGAGCAATGCTCGCATTAACTTCATGTTGAGACTATTGTTCAATGGTTCCATTGAGATTTGTTGTTTTTTTTTAAATTATTTATTTTGTTAAATAGGTAGTCGTAGTAGGTGTCAAAAAGGCCATAACTCTGTCAGAGGTCAGAGAGGCAATGAGAAATTTGAGATCACTAATCTATACAGAGCCAAAGGAAATATATTATTATAATTATTTACTCCGAAATATTATTAATCAACTATAATATTTGGCGCTATTTATTTATTTACATTCGAGTGATCTGGGTTTAATGTCAGCGAATTTATTGATTATGTCTCCCTGAAATTAAAAATGTGTCTAAATAGATTTCTTAAAAAATTCATTAATCTCCATTGTTCTCTTCGATTAAATTTCTTATGAATTCAGAAATGCTCAGAAAAATACAATGCAAATACAAGTCTTGTATTACATTCGTATCCAGATATAATGCCCGGAAAATAGACATATTTCTAGTTGCACAAATTTGAATTATTTTTTTTATCACGCGCTCACTGGACTTGCGTGCGTTTTTAAAAAACCCATCGATAAGAGCCTCTGATCTTTGTAATTTAATAGAAATTACAAGTATCTGATCGCGCACGTTGTATTTTTAGTTCTTAATAGATCCCTAATATATATACATAAGATTCAAGTTAGTGGCTAGCTTTGCTTGAAATTGAAACATTTTATAGAAGTCGAATTTGTTTGGTTTCTCCTCTATACCTTTTGCTCTCTTTGCCATTATCCTCTGACATTTGGCGGGCAGAGGAAAACCAGTTTCGATTATTCGATTTCCAGTCACCTACTTCTGCCACTGCAACAGCATCTTCTCTTTTATCATCATCTTTTAGCATCTTCTTGTACACGTTTAATGCATTTTGTTGTTGCTGTTGCTGCTGTTGTTGTTTTCCTTCATGCCTTGACGCCCTTTAAAAACTGACAGACACGCTGACAGAACGACAGACGCACTCACATACTCATGGTGGTGGTGGGCAGAGTCATTAAGCACTTTTTTGGCAGCAGCCAAGAACTGGTTTTCACTCTCAAGTACCCTGGACGGCCACAAATCAGAGAGTAACTGCAGCAGCCTAACGGTAAATGAACGGTAAAGGCACTTGCAAAGCTGAGGTGCACCTCAACGTTGAAGTTGCCGTTGGCGTTGGCGTCAGCGTCGGACTGTTCCCAACTTTTTATTTTGTTTTATGTGGAAAATTGAAAAAGCATTGCACGATGTTTGGATATTGCACAATTGTATCTGTGAGAGAGCAGCGGCAACAATAACAAATAAATAGTCAGACAACTAGTTGTTGTTGTTGTTGTTGTTACGAGTACAAGTGTTGCGGTTTTTGTTGTTGTTATTGTTGTCATTGTCGCTTACGTTTTTCTTTTTTATTTTATTTGGTTCGCTGTCATGACAAATTTCGTCCATTGGGCTGCTGTGCTCTTTCCCCCGTCTGTCGGAGTCACGTACAGGTGTGAGTTGCTGTCCGTGTGCCTGTCTTTGTGCTTGTATTTGTGTGCATAAGCAGGTCACCATCACAACAACTGCAACAGCAACAGCAACAACACCAATGACAGCGAAAACAACAAAGCCAATATTTAGGCAGCATGTGGCCATAATGCGTTAACATTTCTCATTCCTGTTGCCAATGAAGAGGGAATGTTGCGTTTCCTTCGTTACAAAGTAAATGAATGCATTTATTTTGTGAAATACAGAGCCTGTATGCACTCGATACTATTTAGAGATTACTACTAAATGTTCAGTTTTTAATCAAATAAAGGCAGTAATGATTTGCTGAGCAAATAACCAAACAAATAACTTAATCGCACACACATCACTTGCACGAATCAGTATTAATTTAACTGAAGTACTATTTGATTGCCTATTGAACAATATTCTAGGCGCTCCCTAGATCAGCATTTACTTCACTCACTCAATGAATGTTCAAAAAATAAAATATCAATGCATAGGAAGCAACGACATTATACATTGCAAGAGATTCTGAAATCAAATTCTTGCTGTTTTTGTTATGATATATATTTACTAATTTTATGTCTAATTATTTTCACAAATATCAACAGATAGACCAAAAATAAGAACAGGTCATTAAGAAAATTTCTGCACGAAAATTCAAATACATTTAGGTTCATTCGAACCTAGTTAATTTAATCGAATTGAATACCAATTCTTCATTATTCAGTTACACTCACACAACTGATTCACATACATTCAAATTATGACTCAGAAATGTTCACTCATATTTATTGGGACTCACATAGTCAAACATATCCTACACTTTTCGCGAGGGCTCCAGCTCGCAGCAGCGCCTTTTCTGGGCCAATGTGCGCGTGCGCTCTTTTGCAACAGAGAGACACACAACAGCATCAACAGTAACAGCAACAGCAATAGCAACGACAACAACAATAACAGCTGCAGTAACATTCATTTGTTAACAACAACAAATACATGTGTACATTTATTACAACATAGCCAATGACGCAGGGCTTTTTATTCAGCTGGCCACAGAGCAGTAGCAGCACCTGTCCCTCTCTCTCTCTCTCTCTCTCTCTCTCCCTATGGCTCTCGCTCGCTCTCTCTCTACGGTGCATACTCTCTCTCTCTCCCTTTGTTGTACACTCTCTGGCTGAGGTCTCTGCAGTACTTTCGTTGAGCACAACGGTAAATTTTTGCAGCAGCCGCCGTGCTTGCTTGCATATTGGGGGGCGCTCACTTACGCTTTCATGCTCGTGGCCGTTGCCGTTGGCAGTGGCCAGAGATTTTCGTTTTTGGCTAAACACACACACACACACAGACAGCACAGCACAGCACAGCACAGCACAGCCCATCAGAGCAGAGCAGAGCAGACACAATAAACTCAGCTTCGTGCCCGCTTAAGCTGTCGTATTCAGTGGCGACTTTTTCGGCTGCGCTGCTGCGTTTTTAAAATTTTTAACATATTTTTACAACTGTTCAAGACGCGCAGCCGCAATTCGTTGACGTGCGTTCATGTCAAGCGGTCGTCGATTGTCGATTGTAGCTCGTCAGCTCCCAGCCGTCCAGCTACCAAGCTGCCTGTCCCCAGACCAGAGCCTGACCCAGAGCCAGAAGTCTCTTCACATTTCTCGAAATCGAAATCATTTTTTTTCGCGCGCGCCCACACACAACGAAAGTAAAAGTGCCAACAATTCTGTCGAACACATAAGAAATTCTAACGGTATAGCCCCCCCCCTCAATACAAAAAAAGTTGTTATAATCATACATATAATAATTTTAATAAAGTCTGCAGAGACACCGCCACCGCCGCGTATTTGATCGTTTATTACACAACTTTCGCGCCGACCATTAACATCAAAATAAAAGAGAAGAAAAAAGCCTGAAGTGTGTTATTTTTCCCTTCCGATTTGAATTGTGTGAAAATGTTTTATAAATGCAGCTTTGCGAAATATTTTAACTAAAACAACACGACATACATTTTGAAGTTTTTGTCTTTATTTTTTGTTTGTTTTTTTTCGGTGGTTTCAAGTGAAAGTGAGGCAGGCCAACAACTGCTCTGCTCTTGACCACAAAAAACGAGAATCGTGTCCAGGCGATTTGTGGACAATTTTAAAAGATGTGCGTACAGCGACCGCTGTCTCTGCTGCTGCTGGCGCTGTTCCTAGCAGCGACTGCAACGCAGGCGGCCATTGACAAGGACGACAAGTCTATATTGCGTCAGAATCTCACTGCATATGAGCAGCACAATGTCATTAATTTAAGTCTCCACACGACCATCGATGCCAGCCATGTTGACCAACCCGACCATGTGGACACCACTACCACAACCATCACCACCACCACGACCACGACCACATCTCCCACTGCCACTGCCTCTGTCTATAATCTGACGCAAACGCAGCGCCTGCGCGACTCTCTCAATGTGTTCGACCTGACCCTGCTGGGCGCCCAGTGGCCGCAGTTGGAGGCCACCTCCATGCTCTCCGTTAACTGCACGCAGGATATGCGCAGCTACTTGCGTGGTCTCAGCGATTCCAGCATGTGGGCTGTCAAGAGTAAGTACCACTCTAACTGATAACTAGCGACTGTAGTGCAGTGTAGATATGATTATATAGTACAGCTTCTTGAAGACGATACTCTATAAAAAAAAATGAAAATTCAACTTGTTTTTAAAGCAATTTCCTTGAAACGAATGCAAATTACACCTAATTCTTTGTTTACACGGTAGATTGGTTCCAGAAACAATCGTGTAAAATAAGGCATTGATCATATGCAAAAATAGGAGATTAAAGGAATCAATCTCTAAAGAATTATATATGCAATTTTTAATTTTCAAACAATGAATTTTCTTGGTTTTTGCTGACCTACAAATTTTGTAAGAAGAATGCATTTTTTATATCTGAATTCAATTTCTATATAATGAAGCTTTTAATACAGTACATCTAACAAACAAACGGAACTAAAATTTAATGAATTTCCCATTTCGCCATTCTTATCCTTTAAAAACATTTTTTTCAACTAAACCCCTTCCATAACTTTATGAATTATCGACAGAACTGGACATATAAGTATTTTTATTTGACATTTTCATTATTTGTACATTATCTGCATACAAATAAATTAGTTGCTACGATTTTCTTTTTGGGGCATATATGTATTTCGTCAAAAACACACGTTTTTTGTGCAAATCGAAAGACATGAAAGTTATTTAAAACATTTGTGGCAATGCCACAGTTTCATGGGAAATATATGTATATTTTAAATTTGCAACTCTTTTTTCCGGTAATATTCTCGATATTTCGGAATTGCCGACCCCGATGGAACTTGCATGGAGGCCGGAATATTTTCCGGGCTATGTGATTGTTTCTGGCGCTTGGATCTTGTCGGGGTTGTACGTACGTGTCGTTTGTATTGGCGCATGCTTGGATCGCTTAAGAAAATCAAAACACGAACAATTTGTGCCCCAACACAAAAATCTGCATGATAGCATGCGCTACAACTATTGTTGTTGTGGCTGTTGCTGTTGTTGTTGTTGTTGTTGGTTGATGCCGAAGTCGCCGCCAAGGTCGCAATCAAATGTTTGGCTTGTCTCTCATGAAGCTAAGTATAACGTGCGATAGCTGCAACAATAACATCAGTAGCAGTAGCAGCAGCAGCAGCAGCAACGAGAACAGCAAACAGCAAGAAAAATAAAAGCAAAAGCAAAAACACAAAAACAGAAACCACAACTCAATTTGATTTAAGCTCAGATTTTGTTGCCGCTTGTCAATTTTAGTGGCTATTTTACTTATTTGTGTGCACAGTTTTGGCAAATTGGTTTTGGTCATTATTTCAGCAACATGTCAATGATAACTGCTGTCAACACTTGCTGTTGTTGTTTTTTGTCAGTGTTGTTGTAATTGCTTGTTATATTGAAGCCAAATTTGTGATTTGGGCGCGCCCGCTAGCCTGCAGAAATTCCTGTCAGTGCGCCACTGCATGCACTGCTTGGCCTCAGGCTGCACTGCTTGTGACCTCATTGCAGTGTCGAAGGCAAGCCAAGCCAACAACAACAACACCAACAATAGCAATAGCAATATAATAGCAATAAAAACAACAACAGGCACATTACATATGTATGTATGTATGTACAGTGAAAACTCCCTCAACGGACACCCCTCTTAGGCGGACACTTTTTCTAGAACATTCGTTTTGGTGTACTTTTTAGAGATAGCTCGACTCTCTTGACCGGACGCGGACACTATTTTTCGGGAAATTCGAACTAAAGCCGCGTACCTCGCTGACATGCATAAACACCAAATTTGAAAGAAAACCTCCCTTGGCCAGACGCGTACTTTTCAAATGCATGCAAAATAGTTTTATTTCTTTCTACGTATACCCATGGTATCTACTACAAGTTTTTTTTATAAAATATCCCAACTTCTGCTATTTGTGCACATATTATTGTTATTATTTAATTAGTTCACGATACATAATAATAATTGTTGTTCTTTAGCCCAGAAATGGTTGCAAAAGGAAAATATTTTAGTTTTATAATAATTTGCAAGAGTAGTGCATTTTTATTTTCTTCTATGGCTGAATGGCGCTCATTTACTTAAAAATTATTTATTAAAATTAAATTACTCAATAAATAAGGAAAAACTTACAACAAGGTTCAAAATATAGTTGTGGGTTTTTGTATATAAATGTAAAACTATTATTGACTTTGGATCTTCATTTTTATAATTGATTGTTATACGTAAGTATTTACATAAATCCTAACGTATTTTTTATATTAAATAAAGTCCATTTATTTTCATCGTCTAAGTAGAAAAACAATTAAAATAAGCAAAAAATTGGAAAAATTTCTATGTATCCTCTTAACCGGACACTGCCCTTGGCCGAATAAAAGTTGGTGGACGGTGAGTGTCCGGTAGGTCCAAGAGAGGTTTCACTGTATGTATATGTGAATAAATATTTTGTGCGACTAGTTTGGCCCACAAGAAGCAGACACAATAATTCCAACCACAAAAGTCGCCGCTTAATGTCGTTGCCTGCCTCTCTCTCTCTCTCTCACTATCACTCATTCGCCCGCTCACAGTCCGACTGACTGACTGACTAAATGCCTCGCTGACTAACTGCCTGTTTAACTGATTGCCCGACTGACTTGTCCCAATTGTTGTTGTTGTCGCTGCTGCTGCCGCTGCATTGTGTGCGTATGTGTGACGGTTATGTAATCAATTAACACAAATGCTGGTGTAAAGACGAATTCAAGAAATACAAAAACCAAAAACCAAAAAAAAAAATCAACACACAAAACTAAAAGTGTTTTATTTTATACATTTTTATGCTTATTTAAGGTTTCTTTTTTGTCCATTGTAAGCCACAACAACAATAGGTCGGTGGGCAAATGGAGAAAATGGCAACAACAACAACGAAATGTTATATATATTTACAGATAAGTTATATACATACATATATAGTACATATACGAGTAGTTATATTTACCAAATTTTGACAAGATTTTTTTGCCCGTGACTCCACAGTTTTGATGAAATGTAAAAATGTTCACAAAGCCTTTTACTACAACAATTGTAAGACTTGAAGAAACAATTTTGTACACAAGTTTGGGAAAATGTTCATAAAAAATCAATAAGAATTCTTTACTAACATTTATTTTAGCCGACCATTTCTTATTTATTTCAATTCGTTGCTTAAGTTAGTAAATAACCACAAGAGAAAATTGATTTGAAATTGTTGATCTGAGCATACTTAACATATTCCTAAGGAAGAGTGCTAAAGAAAATGTTCTCTGCCAAGTTTTTTTTTTCATCACCAGAGCCGTAATTAAATAATGTTGCTTAATAGAACCTGTATATACTTGTACATATGTATGTATATGGCGTTGTTCGTGACTAGTGACTGTAATAAGTAAGCAATCATCCAATAAGTTTATGTAAATAATTGCTTACACACTGTGCACACAAATATGGAGCCTAAGACAGAATCAAACGATCACTTACATGCCAGATGTTTTCCTATATGCTTATAGCAAATATTTCCTATATGCAATAAATATCACTATTAAAGTATTTCTTGGTGTTCCTCGTGTTTCGATGGATTTGTCTGGTTTGAGAGCATTCGTTACGAACTTTTCAGACCATCCCATTGATCTGGCAATGAATTTGTAGGTTTTATGGCAAAATATTGGTATAACATCCCTTCAAGTCTGCAGGAATGGAAAAAATCATCAAGAATAATGGCGGATATTCAGGGTATGGAGTGTGCTCTAATCAATTCCGTACAATACGGGACCATAAATAACAAAATTTCTATATTTCTATATTCGGTCCAGCCGAAATATTTGTCTTTTAGGATTTAACTAAACGCCAAGTTATTTTTAATAGTTGGTAAAGCCGTTTATTATTTGTTTTGTCGCTAAAGTATGTTTATTTTGAAAACTAATTGATTTTTTGAGAAAAATTAGAATATGTATGAAAGACAAGCTTTTTTAAAAAAAAAAAAAAAATGTTCTTACACCTAATATAATGTGGCCTGCATTCTTCATTTGCCCCTTCCTTGGGGATCCTTTCCCAATTGCTGAAGGACTTTTTAGCAAGTTTCTATTTACTAAGTGCCCGTTGCTCTCTGGCCGCTTTGAAGTACATATGTAGTACGCACCAGCTTACAAATATACATACTTAATTATATGTACATATGTAGTTTGTTTGTATGTTTTCCCAAACTGCAGTGTGCAGAGTTGTAGGTTATATAAGAAATGCTGTGCATTTTGTTACCTCATTTGCTCTTCACTGCCACTTTAAACTTCACATTGACAGCATTGACAAAAAGCCAAAGCTGTAGTTGTCGTCACTTCCTCTTTGCGGTTTATTGCACTCTCCATTATGGATATCTTTCCATTTGCAATTAGTCAGCTCTAAGTGTGTCAACAGCGTGAACAAACCCAGCATTCCATACCCCTCCCCTCAGTCAAAGACACAAAGACATCGTGACGTCGCGACGTCTTTTTGCTTTTCCTCTTGGCCCGCAAACCGGACCTGATTTTGTCAATATGTGTGTGTTGGTGTTAGAGAGTGTGTTAGTGTGTGTGCCACAGTTTTGATTTTTTCGCTTATTTAACGCTCAGCTCATAAATGACTTTTCAACACTGATCGCATAATTTGTGCAGTCGTTCCTCACCGACCACGGACTTAGGCCTGGCTTAGTGGCCAAGATCAATGGCTGTAAAATGTGTGGCAAGCAAACGTTGTTTCGGTTTCTGTTTCGGTTTCTTTTGCCCCCCTATCGCTATATACTTGTATTTTTGGTTGCAGCTACGCTTCGTTGCATTTCCTGATTGGCCAGCTCGATTGGCTTACTGAGCGTGTCTCGCTGATTTTGTTGCTTTTCTTGTTACATACTCTTGAGGCAGGCTACGTTGAAGGTTGTATAATACTTGTATTAGCAATGGCGACAAGGTTTAAGGCCAACCACATAGTTCTTGGCCATTTCCATCGAGAGCAAAGCGTGCAAAGTGCAGTTGCAGAGTCTTATGGAAATATACACATTTACTGGG